TCAGTTGTATCTCTCAGTAATATGCAAAATCCCATTTGTTCCCCGTTGACACCTGACAAGGCATACAGACTAGTATCAAAATAAAAAGCATGTTCTTTTCCCAGGAAAATATCTTCGAATGAAAACACTTCCCCTTTATTTAATTTGTCAAGCTCCTGCCTTAAATAATGCTGCTTTTTTTCAGGGTAAAATGCCAGCACATCATCTCCGGGCAATGGATCATGGCAGCCGATCATTTTTAAAAACCGGTTTCCCCCTGCATTGAACGACAGTAATTTTTTGTCCATATCAAGATAGAATATCAGGTCAGGCATATTCTCAATCAGGATACCAAGATCGATTTCATTTACATTAAAAGGCATACTCCATCAGGATTTTTAATTGATTAATAAAAATCTCAGGCACATAACAGCGCCACTTAAACAGTGATAATGGTTAGGAAATTCGTTTCAAAGCGTTGGTAGGATGATAACGTATTACCAGTTGTTTTTCATCTGGTCATTACCCCGTTCAACCGGGACAGGTGGGTGTAAATACCATTGAGCGTCATAATGTATGAAAATAGCCAGCCAGATAGTCCGGGAAAGGCGCATCAGCAAAGGCTGTAAAACCAGGAGCAAAAAAGCATTGGTTCCCATCCACCAGAAGAGACGGCTATCGTTTAATGAGATGCCAACTGTTATAATCCAAATAATAAAACTGGCAACGCAGATCATCACTGAAAGTCCATAACTCACAAAACCAGTTCCGTAATAAAAACCCACTTCAGGCTCCAGAGGTTGTCCGCATTCAGTACAGTTGTCATACATCTTCATCATATTTTTACAATCGTATGCGTTTCGATACCTGAAAATATTTCCTTTACGGCAACGGGTACATTTATTCTGGAGCAGACTACTTATAAATCCCGGCTTATATTCACTTTTCAATGCACACATATATTTCGCTTTAGTGGTTCTTTAAAACAATATGGAATTCTCTTCTGAATTCTTCAGGAGTTTTACCAGCATACTTCCTGAAAAATTTGGTAAAGTAGGAATTGTCCTGAAAGTTTAACTGCGTTGCAATCTCACTGATGCTGACATCAGCGTTTATCAGCAGCCTTCTTGCCTCAAGCATAATTCTATCCCTGATGATCTCGCCGGCAGATTTTCCCAGCAGGTCTCTGCAAAGTGCATTCAAATAATTAGGCGTAACATATAATCTTGCAGCATACCCGGCCGGCAATTTCAATTTCATATAATTCTCATTCACCAGTTTTTGAAAATTCCGGAGTGTTGTATATCCAGGCTTCGACAATTGCACTTGCCTGACGGGTTCAATTAGCCTGGTTACCGTAATAAAAAGTTGCAAAAGAAGGGCACGGATCATTTCCGTTGCAAGGTCTTTCACAGGTTCTAATTCTATCAATAATCTTTCAAACAGTTCTGTTACTTCCTTTAGACAACCACCAGTCAGATGTATTACCTGTTCCTCACTATTGCCGCTGAAAAAAGGAAACCGTTCCAGGTAATTTGGCTCCTTAAAAAAAGAATCGAAAAAACTTTCTGAAAAATTGACAATATATCCATCCACCTCCCCCGAAAAATGCCAGCTATGGACTTGTCCGGGGTTCATAAAATAGATCTGTCCCGGCTTTACAGGAAAACTGGTAAAATCAATAGCTTGTTTACCCGCACCATTTGTAAAAAAAACAAGGTGGTAGAAAGAATGACCGTGTGGTTGCAGCAGGTAATTTCGTTGCGCAAGGTATTGGCTAAACCTGGAAATAATAAAATCGTTCGGTTTGCTTTCTCCACCTTTAATCGTGCAAATTGAATATACAGGTAGCTTTTTTGCCATTTCAATTGTAAAGGTACAACAGCTTACCAAGTATCAAATTGTACTAATGCACCTGTTTATGGTATTTTTTACTTCTCGCTAAGTAGTACCACAATCAGGCTTTTAGCATCCGCCTGGCAAACCTTAGCCAACATTTGGCACAGACTTGACAATTCGTAGTTTACCATCTGTACAGGCCGGGCGGGTGATGATATGGGATAATGTACAGCAGGATTTCAACCCAATCGGATGCGTTAATTTTTTCAACCTGGTACAAATAACCAGGATTTATCCAGCACAATTGAACGCCCAATAACTACAAGCATTCCCCTGCCCTTACTCAAACCACCTCCTTTCAATCGTTGATGGACAGTGGCAAAGCCCAGTTCAAGCGGCAGAGAAGCCTGAAAAAAGAAGACTATACAAAGGCCGATGATTATTTGACTGCAGCGGTCAAAGATCAGCCCGGGAGTCCGGAAGCGCATTATTTCCTGGGCTATGCCATCGACAGTATAAATGCCAATGACGGGGCAGGAATGCACCGGATTACAAAAGCCCAGACTATGAGGGCTTCCGAACAGTTTGAACTGGTCACCCGGTTGGAAAAAAGGTACAGTGGGGAAACTATAGCGCTGGATCCCTATTCCAAGATGGGTTGAATCTGGGGCAGCCTGGCGCAGGCCTATCTTGTCCGGCAGTCGCCCGACTCCGCCGCCTGGGCCTATGGGAGGGGAAGAATTACTTTAATCAACGCAACAGCAGTACGGACCCTCTCAACTCAAAAGGTTCGCCCGTGTCGCAGATAAACTCCACAACATATACATAAGCCCCGGGAAGTGCCGGGTGTCCGTTTATATACCCATTCCAGCCAGCTGAGCGGTCATCTATAGGGATATTTTTCCTTTCAAAGACCATCTCTCCCCAACGCCCGTATATCCTGAACGATTTTATTATCCCTGCCCCGCTCCCTTTCACATAGAATACATCGTTCTTTCCATTGTTATCAGGCGTGAATACATTTGGTATCCGCACGCGGTCCTGACTGCAGCTCAACTTCACCAATACCGTATCCGAAGCCGTGCAACCATATTTGTTACCTGCCGTTACAAGGTAAGCAGTTGTTCTTTTTGGCGTAGCCAGTGGTGAGGGACAATTCGTACAACTCAGGTAATCAGGTGGAGACCAATTCCAATTATTTACATCCTGGCTGGCGCTGGTATTCAATTGTACAATGGTGCCGGTGGGTGCATCAATATCGGGCCCCGCATTGATAAAGGGTAGCGGCTGGATGTCAATATGCACCGTGCCTGTATCTGTGAAGCAATTGCCCGCGTCGTAGCCTACCACCGTATAGCCGGTGGCAGCAATGGGTGTGGCAACCGGCCTGGGACTATGCAGATCGCTCAATCCGTTGCCTTTGATCCAATGATACGAATTTGCGCCGGATACAGGCAGTACAATGCTGCTTCCTTTGCAGACGAATGTATCTGCCGGAATTTTCATGGTGAAAGGCTTTAGTACGGTAAGGCTGATGGAATCTTTCCCTGAACAGCCAGCATTGTTGGTAGCCGTTACCACGTACACGGTATTATCTGCAGGCGTTGCCACAGGTGAGGAGGACAGGTTATTATTTAACCCATTGGCGGGCGACCATGAATAATTATTACCAGCAGTGGCATTCAGCTGAATTGAATTGCCCAGGCAGACGATTGCTCTTTGGGGACTTGCCTTCACTACCGGATTGGCGTGCACCGTAAGCTGGCTAATGGCAGTATCAGGGCAACCATAGTGATTAATGACGAGTGATATCTTATAACTGCCCGTATCCGGGAAATTTTGGGGCAAGGGGTTTTGCAGCGTTGAAACATTGCCGTTACCAAAATCCCAATGCCAGCCAATCTTATCGTTGATGGTAGCCGAACCGTTGAACTGAACGGTCGTTTTTTCGCAAACCTCCAGCGGCCCGGAGATAGCAGCAATAGACAAAGGCAGTACCAGGATACTGTCTGTTGCCTGCTTACTACAACCAAAGGGCGATTGTACGGTCAGCTGCACCAGCTTTGTTCCGTAAGTGCTGTATACGAAGGATGGATTGGCTGCATTTGACGTGTCTGCGGCATTGCCGGTTCCAAAATCCCAATGGTATTGCAGGGGTTGCTGCACCTGCTGCGCAAAGCTAGTGATGACCGGGTTCTGAAAGTTTACCGGTCCCGGGCCGCAAAGCTGCGCAGGTGATTTTTTGATGCTGATGGCAAGGGAATCGATTACAATTTTCTGCTGCAGGTAAGACTGAATGGAACAACCATTGGAGTCATACAGGATCAAAGCGGGTGAATAAATACCCGGTGTTAAATAGGGATGCGTAGCAAAACTGTCCCTGGTTTGCTGCACCTGGCCATCGCCAAAATCCCAGACAAAGAAACTGGCATTGGTCACCTGGGCATCCAACCTGATTACTTTGGAGCGGCACCCAAAAAACGCGTTGGCATTCAACTTTGCAGACGGCGCTTTTACCACGATGGAATCAACCGTAGTATCTGTTGTACCATTGTACCCATAACCGTACATGGTAATTTTATAGGTGCCGGCAGTATAATAGGTATGGCTTGGATTATTCTGGTTGTCGGCCCTGCTGCCGTCGCCAAAGTCCCATGCCACCGATAACGCATTTGAAGAAGTATTGGTAAAATGTACAATTACAGGCGGGCAACTACTGCTGGTAACAAAAGATTTGGTAAAAGAAAAATGGGTATTGATTAACCGTACATTGATCACCTGGATGCTGGTATCCTGGCAGTTGGTGTTCGGATTGATGGCAATCAGTTGTACGGTATCTACACCAACCTTATTATAGATGTGCACGGGAGAAAAACCGGTGGAGCTGCTGCCATCCCCAAATAGCCATTTATACTGGGTACCTGAACTATTGAACTGGTTGGTATTGTTGGTAAAACTAACCGCAACACCCGGGGTAACGTTTGCCGGACTGAATACAAATGCAGCCTGCGGGCCGCTGGGGTTAGCATAATGCGAATAGTCGTACAGGGTTTGGTCTTTACAGCCGTTGATATCGGTTACCGTTAATCTAACCATGTATTGACCCGGGCTGGCATACGAGTGCGTTTCCGTACCACTGGCCATTTCGTTGGCGGTTTTGCCGTCGCCAAAATCCCAGTTCCAGCTGGTAATGGGTGCATTGACGCCTGCTATAGAAGTATCCTGTGCAAGGATGGGGTGTTCAAAGCAAGGGGCTGCATCCAGCAGTTTAAAGCCTGCTTTTGGCCCGTTTATTTTTACCGGTATAAAATTGCTGGTGTCATTACAGCCGAAATACGCTGAGTTGCTGATGATCCTCAAATCCTTTTTTGTGGGATCAAGATAGGCCATCGTCCAGTTCACCGTATTCTGCCATGCGCCATTTTGAAAGGGGTAGCCATTGTAATTAGAAAAGTTGCTGGTATCTCCATATTGCATGGCATACAGCCCGTAATAATTTCCATACCAGAAATAAGGGTTGGGAGCAGGATTGGTCTCCATATTTTTCAGGTAAATAGCAAAGGGGCCACTGCTGCAGGCGCTGGTAATATTTGAAGACAATACCGGGTGTTGCTTTAGCAGCACATACACCATGCTGGAATCTCTTACCGAACATTGCCCGTTGGTATTGGTGAGCACTACCTTATACTTTCCTGTTTGCGCATATACATGCTGAACCTGGGGTTGATACGCGTTGTAAGCAATATGGGCGCTGCCGTCTCCAAAATCCCAGTCCCAGGAAAGCGCTTTATAAGACGTGTCTGTGAAGCTGACAAGATTTCTTTCCCCATCGCAGGTATTGACAATATGGTTGATTTTTGGAAAAGGCGGCAATACTTTGATAAAATCTTTTTTGATAGTAGTATCCCTGCACAAGCCGGTACCATCACTGCTATAGGCAACAGAAACAGTATACACTGAATCTCTTGTATACTGGTGGGTAACGGTTGAATTGTATTCCCAACCATCGGTAAAGCCATCGCCAAAATCCCAGCTGTTGTATGCGCCGCCCCCACCCAAAAGGGTAAATGTAACCGGCGTATTGCCACAAATCGTAGTACTGGAAGCTGTAAAATCTGCCGGGTGATGTTTTGATACATGTACGCCCTGGTAATTGGTCGTTCCTGTACAACCATTTTTGGTCGTATAATGTAAAAGCACGGTAAAATTGCCTTCTTTGGTAAAAGTATGCCAGGGTTGGGGGGTAATGGCGGTGGCGCCGTCGCCAAAATCCCACTGGTAGCTGGTAATAGAATCTGTTGCAAATGTTGTAAAATTTATGGTTACACTGTCACAGGCGCTCACATAGGTAGTATTAATAACGCCTATGGACACGTTCACCGGCCCGGTGTACACAGATTGCACTTCAGAAGCCGTGCACCCTGCCTGGTTGGTAACCACCAGTTTTACGGAGTGCGTCCAGTTACCCGTATAGGTATAAGAAGGGTTGGGCGTGCCGCTAAGCAGGCTCGATATCCCTGTCCACTCAAAATCCCAGAGCCATTTAACCGCATCAGGGGTAGTATCTTTAAAGTTAACCGTAACGGGCGCACCGCAGTTGGGCGGAAAATCGATGATAAATGGTTTGATATGGGGTAATGAATGCGCTGCTACAATTTTGGTGGCCGTGTCTTTACAGGTTCCATAGGTGTTAATCAGCTGTATGGTATGGCTCAGGGTATCATTGAAGGTGTAATAGAAACTATTATTGCACCAGCTGCACTGGTAATTGTTATCCACCCACCAGATTTTGCTGTCGGCCACCGGGGTGCTTTTGTCAGTAAAAATGATATTGTCTGATGCACAAAGCAAAGGGGGCACACTAAAATCTGAGCCGAAATTCCGCACATTTACATAGCCGGCCCGGGTAACCGAGTTGGTACAGCCCTCGCTGCTGGTTACACTCAATTGAACTGTGTACGTACCCTTTTTATTATAGGTATGGGTTGGGTTAGCCGCATTGGAACTGCTGCCATCGCCAAAATCCCAATAATAGCTAAGGGTACCCGGACCTGAACTGGCATTGCTGAATTTTACCGAGTCGCTGATATTGCAAAGAACCGTTTTATCTGCACTGAATGAAGCTTTAATAGCCTGCAGCACCTGTGTAGCCGGCTTCTGGATATAACTATAGCAGCCTGCACTGTTTGTTACCGTAAGACCCACCATGCTATTGAGGGCAATATTGTAAGTGTGCTGCACTTTTTGCAGGCCTGCACTTTGTTGGGTATTACCATCGCCAAAATCCCAGAAATAGCTGGCGATGCTTCCATCACCGGGCGTTGCGGCCGCTGTAAAATTAACCGCTTGGGGCAGACAGCCCTTAACCACATCAAAAGAAAAATCAATTGTTGGCTTTTTATAAACCGTTACCTTTTTGCTTTGTGTGGCAGTTTTATTGCCATCAGCAACCGTTAAAGTAATGGTGTAGGTTTCTTCCAGCACATAGGTAGCACCGGCATTGATAAGGGTAGAAGTATTTCCATTGCCCAAATCCCATAGATAAGTGGCATTGGAAGAAGCACCGGAACTTGTATTGGTTAAACCTACCGTTAAAGGAGAACAGCCCCCCGTTTTATCCATTTGAAAGTCGGCCTGTAACTGCGCCATTGCGGGGCAAAATGAAAATAAGAAACTAAACAGGAAGATAGCGCTTCCGATTAATAAGCAATTTGTCTTTGGCATAGGTAAGGAATGTGGGCCTCAATAGTTTTTCCAGGTAAACAGCCAGCATTTTAATAACGAAAACAGTTACAATATATTGAATATTTGAGTGAATAATATATTCCGACCTCCGACCGTAGCAATTCGAAATCCGCAAATAGGTAATAATCCATGTGAAGTTAATGTTCAAGTTGTGCGTCAATTGCAGGGATTGTATTAGTTCGAATCGATTCCTTAATAAGTTTTCATTCAGGAAAAAATACCAGCATGTGGATTGACTGGTTAAAAATAATAAGTGATAACTCTTACATTATTGTTTTACTCTATCACCTTTATTTGACAGATTATCTTACCCTCGAGGGCATAGTGGCCAGGCTGCGACTCCAACCCCAGGTCTATTTTAAAACCGGCCTGGGCGCCGTCAGAACTGAACGACTGCCCATGCCTTGCTATTAGTGGCAGCTTACATTTTTTTATCAAATAAAATGACCTTCACTGTCACATATCCGAATAAAAAAATTACCAGTTTTGTAAAAGAATAATCGCTGGCGCCTATAATTAACTTTTACCCTTTGAATACAGTTTTATCAAATATTGAGGAAGGAAAAGCGTATCCGGCTTTCGCTATTATATAAAGGGAATTTAATAACGCTTTTTATGCAGTCTATACCTCCGCGGTATCCATTGCTTCCTGGACACAATAGGGAAGTAATGGGATTGTGAAACCAATAAATAATATGTATATGAATACTATTTCAATCGCAGCCGAAATCGTTGTTGAGATGCATCAAAGGGGATTCGTAAATGATTTTCAACTTTTCCGGGATAATATATTATGGGTACAAGAAAAAATATTCCTTAAAATTGACAGATTTACCATTTTAGAATTTCACCAAA